CCCCCCCCCCCCCCCCCCCCCCCCCCCCAGGGGCTTAACTAGGGCTCCCGGTCCAATGGGGCCCCCCCCCCCCCCGGGTATCATTTGGACATGTGGGAATGGGCTTCCATGGCTCAGCAACTGCATGTGAGTCTCACATCACCAAGCGCAATGCCAAGCGTCAGATGGAGTGGTGTAAAGCACACTGCCACTGGATTTTGGAGCAGTGGAAACATGTTCTGTGGAGTGAGGAATCACAGTTCTCCATCTGGCAGGCTGATGGATGAGTTTGGGTTTGGCAGATGCCAGGAGAACATTACCTGCCTTTGACTGCATTGTGCCAACTGTAAAGTTTGGTATAGGAAGGATAATGGTATGGGGTTGTTTATCTGGGGTTTGATTGGCCCCTTAGTTCCAGTGAAGGGAACTCTTAATGCTTCAGCATACCAAGACATTCTGGACAATTCTATGCTTCCAACTTTGTGGGAACAGTTGGGCCCTTTTCTGTTCCAGCATGACTTTGCCCCGGTTCACAAAGCATGGTCCATAAAGACATGGTCGTGTGAGTTTGGTGTTTAAGAACCTTGACCTCAACCCCATCAAACACCCTTGAAATGACCTAAAATGAAGATTGCAAGCCAGTCCTTCACATCAGTACCTGACCTCACAAATGTTTTTCTGGATGAATGGGCAAAAATTCCCACAGACACACTCCAAAATCTTATGCAAACCCTTCTCAGAAGAGTGGCAGCTGCAAAGGGGGGACCAACTCCATATTGATTCTTGTGGGTTTAAAATGGGATGTTATAAGCTTCCCTGTGGGTGCAATGGCCAGGTGTCCCAGTACTTTTGTCCATATAGTGCACACCAGAGGTGGTGACTCAAGTCACTGGCTTGCAACTCGACTCAAGTCACTAATCTGATGACTTCGGACTCGAATCGGCAAAATAAATGGAAAGATTTGAACTTGACTTGGAATTAAGGGCAATGACTCGAGACTTGGACCCTATGACTCGAGAAGAGTTGAGGTTATACTCCCCCTCTGGATACCATAAAATTAGTTTTATAATTTCAGCGTGCATTAATACTCTGCGGTCTGCATTTTCATTTGGCTAAATGCAAGGTCTCCCGAGATAGTTTGTTGGAAAGATGCATCACTCCCTGCATATACAAAAACATACTGCAAAAACTGTGTGAGGGCAACCTGTGTGAGTGGACACTCCCTTTTCAATCTCTTACGATGTACTGTGGCGGGTTTTTGCTGCAGCAAATTTTAATCGCTAAAGGCAAAAAATGACATAGGTATGGACTCAAGTTACATAATTCACAACTCGACTTGGACTGGAGTCACAAATTTGATGACTTGTGACTTAACTGCAAAAATGATGGAAAGACTTGGACTCTACTTTGACTTGAGGGCAAATGACTCGCAACTTGACTCTGACTGCAATGTTTTGACTTAAGACTTGACTCAGACTCGCCAAGGAATGACATGCTCCCATCCCTGGTGTACACACACACACAGGCTACAGCTGAGGCTTTTCTGTCCATCTGACATTGTGCATAAAACTTCAACACCCATGACCACTGGCAAAATCCTTCAGAACGTTCAGAGAGCAAAAGGCCGATGTCTCTGGGGGTAGGTGACACTGCTGCATTACAGAGCCCGCCCACCGAAAACCAGGCTTTGAAACCACTGTGGGTGGGATTACCACACACTGTCAATCACCGCTGGGTTTACGGCTCAGAAAGTTCCCAGCCAGCGTGGGATTCAAAGAATCAGCAGTTAGGGTAGACGTGAGGTCATAAGGGACATTTGCAAGCTCTCTACCGGCTAAGCAAAGCCCAGGACACATGGGGCCAGGTGTGTGCTCGCAGGTATGTATATCCGATTCCTCTGTCTGGGCCAGTGCTGACATCCTCCTCTGCTCCTGCACAGGTTGGACTTATTAAATATAACCATAGCAGTCAGATTTTTCAGGATAAGCACTTTGGCCCACATTCTAAATATATGGAATACTACAGATACCTTTTGAATCAAGTAACTTGTCTGAATATTGTATTAACATTACTCAAACATGTGTGTAGATTTTGTTTAATTTTTTTTTAATTAGGTCAAGAGCCTTTATTACATTTTTTAAACAAAGTGTTGAATGATGTAGTGAGGAAATGTATTTAGAATATAAATAAGCTTTGCTGATTTCCCCCCCCCCCATAGATGATGTACCATTAGATCTAAAATGCTGTCCAGACCAGTAAAGTATGACCATATATGAAGTCAGCTGTGTGCAAACATCTCCATGAAGAAGGATCAGCTTAAGGCTCTGAGGCTACAGGTAGAAGTCCACAGGCACCCCCTCACACACACACACACACACACACACACACACACACACACACACGCGTAGGTGTGGTGATCATCCATTCATTTCTATGGGCTAAAGGCTAATCCCAGCATATACAACCTTAACCCCTAACCAGCCCTAACCTTAAGCAAAAGTAACCAAACAAATACCAGACTTTTGGCACTTAGTGTTTTGATTGTAGTCATGGATTTTTATACAACTGAGTTCCCCCTTGTGGGGACCGAAAAAATGGTCCCGATAGTGTCAAAATAACAGGTCTTTATCACATTGTGGGGACATTTGGTCCCTACAGTGTAATATATACATGACCCAAGTGCACACACACACACACATCACGCACAGCTTCCAGCCGCCCAGATCCCTGTTAAAATCGTGCAAATTACTTCATTGAGACAATTACCCATTCCCTGGGAAATGGCTTCCAGGTCCGGGGCAGATGCTGATCAAAAGAGGAGATGCTTGGGTAAAATTTCAAGATTAGAAGGGCTGGCAGGAAATGAAGCAGCTTGACTCGAGTTACCTTCCGAATGATTGTGGGGCTATACTTTAATTAAAGGCCAACCAGGGACGGGGGGGGCTGTCACTGTGACAATGTTTTTAATCCGGGAATCAATTTTATCTTTGAAATATTTGCTATTAATACACCCAGTCACATATATTCTCATCAGCAGTCTCTGCTGGCTTCATTAAGCACAGTAATGCTGTATCCTGCTTTTCCAAATTAATACAGCTTCACGCCTTGAGTTCTGCTAACAAACCTTCCCCTGGCTTGTGTTCTGTGAAAATAAAGCGATGAATGAATCTGAAGCCCGAAGACCGAACGCAGCCTGCGTTTCTGCAAAGACGTGAACCTTGGGTCACCGAACCACAGATCCTCTACGCCTACGAGGCCCCGTGCAGAAAGACTGACAGTGCCGAATCTTCATTGTCCTCCATTCTTCCCCCAAGGACAAAAAAAGGTATGTTTGCAGAGAACTTCGTCATCAGCTCCCTCAGCACAGAAGAATTTATAACTGGACCAAAACAAACAAACCAAGAGTGCTTGAGGAAAAAAATATAACAAAGGAGAAGTTACTACAGATTTACAACTGTTCCACCTTGCAACCACCCCCGCATATTGTCCAGTCAATGTGGAAATGTAGTATGTGGTAGTATGTTTAGTAAATGTGGAAATGTAGCACCATGGGGCTCATGGAAACCGCATTTCATCTGGGATACATGCATATATAAAGATCTCCGGAATCTTGAGTGGCTGGAGCTGATTCTCGGAAGCCAGGACACGTGGCTGAAGACCCCGTCAGTAAAACTAAAGAGCTCTCAAGTTCTTTTACTCAGAGCTTTTAGGTAAAGAAAGTGCACAGGCAGCAGGTTTCACAAGAAAGACCCCGTGTTTCATTTCTAATTATCGTCTTTACAAGTCGAGCACGCAGATGTAGTTTCCATCCAGATGGCTTCGGTGGACACTGTGCACCAATGCCGAGGAACCTGCTCGCAGATGAAAGCTCACGTGACCAAGCAGTGCTTTGAGCAAAACGACCAAAATAACCAAGACACAGGGAAAAGATTAGATCCAGTTGAAGTAAATACCGCAGTCTTGAGTTTGGAAAATTAAGAACAAAGGCAGCAATCAAACGCAAAATATTTTCTTGGCGAATGACAAGACAGCTTCGCAAAACATCAAGAGAGATTAATAAACAATTTACAGCCAAATGCATTAAACAATTGTACAATTAAAACTGCTCTTTATGGGAAACATGACTGTTCCAGACCCAATTCCTACAAAACCACCAGACTTTTTTTTCAAATAAAATGGAGGAATGTAAAAATTTTCCAAAACAAACACCTGTTTCTTGAGAGCTCTGGATAGGCTCCAGAGATCATTTGGGCTTCTACAGCAGAGCATGAGGCTGGACATCCAGCCTGTCTTTACGGCCGTTGACGAATTACAAATCCTCTGCGGAGTGCACTGCAGCAGTGGTCTGTGTGAGAGTAACAGAATTGACTCATCTGCTGGATTCTGCCAGAAGGCAACACGAGTCCTTTCTCAGAGCGGCTGAGTGACGCAAGACGCCGTTGCTCGCGGTTTGGGGATGACGCGCGGGTGATAGAGATAGACGCAGCCGGTAAAACTGCGCCACTGACACGTGGGCGTCTTGTGGGGGCGGGTTCGACTCCCATCACGGCTGCAGGCTCCCCGCTTCCCAGCAGCAGCTGAATTATAGCACATTTTCATCCAAAACCCCACAGGCACAGACAGAAAGAGAAACCCTCACGCAGGGGAACCAGGGCCCTATATCCAGTAGTTTATAGGTTTAAGTCCCAAACGAGTCCGAGTCCAAACTCCTGATTAAAGAACATAACCTATATTACCACTTAATGACATACAACTGTATAAACATGCAAGAATGAGCCGCTCCACATAAGGGCATTTAATTTCATTATTAAAACAAAGCTATGATACCCTGGAGATGGACGGCTGTTTGCATAGAGCCAGTTTAACACCAGCTTACAAGACGTGTATTGTACGTATGCTCAACTCATCGACATGTTTCTGTGGGGCCTACTCAGCAGTCCACCATGCAGAATAAACACGAGGACTCCAAAGCCTTCAGGTCGTGCATGGGG